CCCCCCTCCCTTTCTTTCTTCTTATGGAGTAACTTTAGGTTGGACATCTTCTCATCGAATGAATTTATAGCATCTAATGACTTGATCAAGTTCTTTAATTGTGATGATTACATAGACTCCTTCTGTAAGGTAATTGAAAAGGCGTGCGTGTGAAATCAAATTCAGAATTCCTCCAAAACATTGTCATGTATGTTCATTTATAAACTTACTTTATACCCTATACACTTGTACAATGTTCCATTTTACACTTCCCTCTGCAAGCTTAGCATCAATATAGAGAATTTTGTACTAACACGTGATAAACAACCCTAAATTATAAGATTTATGTGTTTTTGAATTTACGAGTGGTGGATCATGAGTGAATACCAGGCAAGATGTTGTTATCTATTTGACATTCACGTGCCTGCAAAATGTGCCAAATTGATTTTTGGCATTTCCTCATTATTCTAATAAGTAGTGATTACTGAGTGGTGATCTTGGCTGTAATGGAGCTAAAGAATAATGGATGTTGAAGAATTTCCGAAAGACGGGGAACTTGGAGGGATGATGATGGGCTTTGGTGCAAATAAGGTAAGATGAATAACAATTACTAATCCCACGTTGGAAAATGAAGGACTGGAAGACTACCTTATTGGTAATTATGTCTGTTAGACATTTGTGTTCTATAAAGGGTCAATTAAGTGGACATGCCAGTGAGGACCAAGTGATGCAACATCTGAGCCCACGCCAGGGAGCATTGTTTATATTATAATAATCAGATAATTGGAACCATTAGACAATCATCTTTTAATTATTTCATCTTTGTGTCTTAATCTGTAAGAAGGAAAGGGATGGATCAACTTTGTTGATATTGACCTTTTAAGATCTCTAAAAGCTTTAAAGGATGATTAAACTTCGATGGATTGTGATGTCAAGTGTTAATTGTAGCAGAAATCTGTTGAATTGTGATAAACTAGTTGGATTTCAATACATTTTCAACAGTCCAACATATCTTGAATCTTGGTTTTGCTAAATAGTGGTGTCTTAAGGCCTTCTTTGTTGTTGGAATGAGATCTTTTCTGATAGCCTTTTCCAGGTTTCATCAATTGTCTGAATTTGACCAAGGAAAACGAAGCTGCCGGAGAAGACTTGCTGGACACAACGAGCGTCGAAGGAAGCCTCCACCTGGATCTCTACCATCCACTCGCCATGGAAACTTTTCTTCATCCATTTTTGGTTAGCCTTTACTGATTGAGCTCCTCGCTGAATTCTAGTGCTAATATTTTCATAAGGCCTAGTTTTTTAATTTAATTAATTTTCTTTTGCACTTAACTGAGATGTTCAGATATTTGATATTTGCCTTAACAGAAGCCCATGGCAGAAATGGAGGTTTTGTGATGGACTTCTCTTCATATCCAAGTGCGGCTGGGAGGAATTCATGGCCAAATATGTCGTCATCCGAAGGAGGATTGGGGAATCAAGTTCCTGTCGCCGAAAAGTTTATTCCATCACCATGGCATAGAAACTCAGAGAATCCTCCACCACCCAATCTTCTGCAAGGTTCAACTACTAGTGCCAGCTATTTGGGTCCGAGATTATCTTCTGGAAGTTTCAGTGGAGTCTCGGACTCTGGCAGTGCTCTCTCTCTTCTGTCAAGTCAGACCTGGGGCTCAAGAAACATACCCTCTTGTCCCGGGCTGAACACTTTATATGGTCCGAATGGGACGTCCATGGTTCAGCCACCAGTTGCACATGATGCATCTGTTGGCGACTTTATGAGCCTTCCATGGGGTTTCAAGGACAACCAAGCTAGTATCGGTTCCCACGAGATGCCACCTGATCTTGGTTTAGGTCAGATTTCACATCCGGCCAACAGTCAATATTCCAATGAGCTCGAGTTGGCTCAACAAGGTGGCGGACAGTACCATGAACTTGAGCTCTCGACTGGTTATGCTTCTCCTGTCGAGGATTTGCACTGGTCTCCTTGAGTGTCTTTTTACTTATCTAAAGCCCAAAGCTAAGGTCCTTGGAACCTTGTCTGTTCTAATAATTAAAACCTATGTTTCTTAAGTTCTCGTCAGCTAGTAGCATTTGTGAGATGTTTTACTCTGCACTCTTCTGTTAGAGAGGCATAAGAAGACTCTGTGCTCGCCTATGGTTAATGTCATTGGATGACAGACATCAGCTTTTGTCCTACTCTGTGTTTTGAAATCATTTCCTGTGGAAGTAGCTGAATTGCCCATTTATGTTATAGAAAGTGTGAACGGTCTTGCATGCTACTCTGCTAGCTTTAATGGTTACCGATTTTCTTGATCAAACCGACAGTTCATTCTGATTCCTGTAACGGCAAAATGCAAAAAGCCAATGACCAAAAATTTGCCCTATTCATAAACAAAGTTTCCCATACAAGCAAAACAATTTTTCAATTCTAATGCTACTTAGCTCTACTAATTCTGCAAGCAACGAGAATTACGCACTTCAGAAGAGAAATAGACACTAGCTAGCTTCCGTTGTATGCAAGGGAAAGCTCATTCATTAATATCAAACAAAATAGACTTATTAGCGACGCCGACCTGTCACTACTCGACTGAGTACGTCAACAAAAGACCAATATCTCAGTACTTTGACACGTTAAGCTGCTGCTTAATAATGCACTCGTCTCTCCAATGATATTGACAGGTCTTCCATCAAATATCAATGAAAGTGTGCTCTCACAGAGTTTCTTTAACTCCCGGATTTTCGCAATGAATGTTTCTACACGTACAAAAAGAATTTTGACAGAATATATATAGACAACTCACAGTTCAGAGGCCCATACACATTTTTGGCATTTTTTTATGCAGCATGGGACCCACACACTTGTCTCTATTCTAGTGGAATTCTGTGAAAAAAATTATGTAAAGCCAGTTTTTTTCCTTTCGCAATGGTTGCTTCCTACATATCGAATGAAAACTATATTGTATGAGATTAAAAAATAAAAACCAGTAGTAAAGCAAGGGAAAGTGATTTTCGGCCGAATACAGGAACTTGAATGAAATCTTATACATGACAAACCAGAGAAAGTAAGATCATCGTTAAACGAATTAAGAAACCTTGCCCTTTCTCTCAACTCGTATTCAAATTATTTAAAATTCATGTCAGAATATTACTAATAAATATATCCATCAGTTTTTTTTTTATCAGTAAGAGGACATAACTAATTATCTAGGTGATCTTCGACTAGAGAGCTTATATTTTAAAAGGCAACTCTCGA